TAGGATTTAACCATCCAATCTACTACTTGAATAGTTGACAACCTGACTACTTCACTAGGTCGCCACATCCTTTAAAAGCAAGTTTTAGTTTTTTTATTTTTTGTTCTCTTATTAAAATAATTATATTTTTTATTTTGTATTATTGAAATATCTTGTTTTGATTTACTAATTTTAACTATAATATTAAGATCTTTTATATAATTAAAAATATTCTAATATTTTTTTATTTGTTTTAGATTTTTTTTATCTTTTTTTTTAAATCTGTTTAATAAACTTCTTTATTTGTATTTTCTTTTTTTATCTTTATTTTTTTAATATTTTTGTATTGTTTGTATTTGTTATATATTAATAGAGTCTAAGTCAGAAAGATGTAATAACTTAGTAAAATAGATAAGTTATTAACTCTTTAAGTAGCAAATTATAAGTTTAAAATCTACAAAAGATAAAATTTGAATTTATTATTTATATTGTAGCAATTGTTTTTATTAATTGAATTAAGATACTTATAATTATAGTTATATTAGTAAAACTAGCAAATTATAGAATATCTGTATAACTGATTATACAAAAGAATGTAAACTAGTATTAAATAATATAAATCTAAAATAAATTATTGTGATTGTATAAATCTGTAGAAATTAGAATACAAAAAGCCTATTTGAAAAGACCTAAGTAAAGAGGTAATATGGATCTTTAATAGTATTATTATAAAGGCTAGATCTAAAAAACAGATACTAATATAAAATATTTAAACTAACAAGAACCTCTGAATAAAGGTATTATTAACTAAACTACCAAAATTAGTATAAAAAGATATCAAGCTAACTTGATATACCAATAGACTGGTTATAATCTTACTGAGCTATTTGAATTAAAAATTTAGAGAAAAAATAGAGTATACTAAAGTACTAGAAATATACTATAAAGTAAATGCTTAAGTTTAGATAAACTCTACAAAGGCATAGTAGTTTAATGATTAGCCTTAACTGCAAATATTAGTTTATTCTTAGTAATATTAGATTAGCTATAAACTGAGTATATAGAAGATTTTAAAAAATTTATCTTAAGAATAAATTTATTTTAAAGTTAAGATGAGAATTTGAATATAATCTAGTAAAGTTAACACAGAACAGGTTCAAAAAGTTTAAAATAAACCACTTAGCAAGAAAGTTAAATATAACAATTAGTAGAAAATCTTCGAGCAAACTTCTTAAATAGGTTATATAGAAAAATCATACATGCAACTAATTGTATTCTTTTTTTGTAATAGTTCTTTACAAAATTATATTATCTAAAAATGTGTTAATAAAGTTAAAAGACCCAAAAGGTTATTTTAATACTAAAAAAAATAAATAAACTTTTAATACTTAAAACTCAAATTAATATTAAAATTCTAATAATAAATTAAAATATAATATGCTTATACTAAAAAAATAAATATTGTAATTTTAAAAATTGTATAGATTATTGTAAAATAATTTGTATTTAATATATAAACATATATATTACTTATAATGTTTTATATTTAAATTAGAAAGTTAATACAAATATTGTACTAATTATTTTATAAATAATATTAAAAAAAATTTACAAAATGATTAAAAAACTTTGATTATATAATTACAAACAAAATTACAAGTAAATCAAATGTTATTAAAACTATTAATAATACTAATATGTATAAGTAGCAAAAACCTTTCTTTAGATAATAATATAAATATGCTTTTTGAAAGGCAATAAGTGTTTTGCAAGTATAAAATAGTGTTAGAATATATATAGTATAATTTATTAAATTATAGAAATTTATAGCATGTATTTTTTTCAAAAATATTTTACAAATAAGAATACATAATAAATTTGCTCATTTCTAATAAAATAGTCAATGCTGAAAATTAATAACAATAATAATTAATAAAGCGGAGACCGGAGATAACTAACTAAATAAATAAGCAAAGAAATGTCATTGTAATTTATTTAATATTACTTATGTTATCTAATTTGTTGAACATTAGGTATTAATAAGAAATGTCAACTGGACAAAGAGCTTTTGATGGATATCAGTTTGATAACTGTCTCGCAATTAAAATTATTCGCGGATTGCGGCCAGAAATTGCATCTGAAACCCTAGATTGCTATATTGAATTTGCTAAAGAATGTATGAATGGTGATCCAGAAAAACGGCCTTATTCATAAGTCATTCTACGATAATTCTATTTTTAGTGACAAAAATTTACATGTTCATTTAATCTCAGCTTTAATTAATATCATTTCTTACTGCTATCATAAGTAATGAGTAAGAATTTGCTTAATATTAGTTAAACGATAAAAAATAAGTATTGATTACTTAATAAATTAATTTGCCTATCCCTATCTCTGATTGGACGAAATGCTACTCCACTCTTGAAATGATCTGCAAAACAATAGCCGATAATGGTATATAAAACACTTGTTATATAAAGTCGTTTTTTCAATGGTCACGATACGTAACGGTAATAATTAAATTACCACTTTCTTTACCCCAGTTAGTCCCATAACTACTTGCATATATCAGGTTCATAGGCAGAAGTTTGTCTGATTGGCTAGTTATTGTATGGATATCTGGGTGTAACTAATTACACACGGGTTTATATTCGAGTTACGTGGCCGAAGGCCACGTGGTTTGGATATAAACCGTGTGTAATTAGTTACACCCAGATATCCATATAATAACTATATTATCGTACGGGTCTGACGTAACAACCCGTTGTCGCTTCTTTTAAACAATCTATTTAATTATTTAAATTTATTTTAT